CATAGTAGGTGCTACATAAATGTTAGCTATCATCATCATCATTATTATTGTTGTTATATCCCGAAGGAACTTTGATCTGGGAACATCTCATATCTAATTAGAATGGAAGCCCCTTGAGGGCAGCGGGGGCAGCCACGAACCAGTCCTCCCCAGCCGTGGGTACTTAAATGCTCTTAGGACGTTGACTGATTGATTGAGAAGGGAAAGCCTATAAAAACGTGAGCCCTACGATTAGCTGGAAAACAGGGAAACAGAGGCTGGTGGGTTCTTGACCGATCCAGTGGTCTGGAACCTCGTCCCCTCGGAGGCTGAGAACAATAGGCTTCGAACCCCGCCCGGCATCGCAGCATCTAACCCAGAGGCTGCGCGGGGCCCGTCTTCTGCGGGAAGAGCAGGGAGCCGCACTCGGGAAACCCATTAGCCAAATAATAGGTTTTGATCCCACTGTTTTGAAAAGGTACCCTGCATTTAGCTGCCTTTCCTTGGGGGAGGGGAGATAAGGGGAGGTGGGGGAGAGGATCCAATTACAGGACTCAGGCAGAATGTTGGGGGGCGGGGGAGGCGGGGCGCGCATGGAGCAGCGGCGGCATCATCTACTTGGGAGGCTGGGAGGTGCCTTTAACCCGAGCTGACACCATGGCTAATATCAGAGCGGCTCGTTTGCAGAGCTCTCCCCAGCTTGCTCATTGTTTATTGTTGAGTCTGGGTTCTCTCCCTCTCCCCCTTCCCTTCCCTGCTCTGCTCTCCTCTCCCCTCCTCCCCCTCTTCCCCCCAAGAAGACACAATCTGTGGAGACGGATGACTCATGAATAAACAAACATTCTGGAGGGGGGGGAGCTGTCAGTCGCAGCCTGACTTCCTGCCCTCCCTCTGTGTATGGCAGGGGATGGTGAAACATCACAACCCTCTGGCTTGTACACAGTTGCATCCAAATGCAGGGCAATGAACCCCTTGACCTTGGCTTTTCCCTGGGATCCTGGGGCAGACGGGATATTCTGGGACACTGCCCAGTCTCTCTGTCCTGGGCTGGTGCCGCCTCAGCTGGCAGGGGGGCAGGAAAGAAACCTGGGGGTGCCCAGGGCTCCATCTCACACCTCCTGCTGCTCTCTTCCAACCTTCCAAACATCAGGTTTGCCAGGACCTTCCTACCTGGTTTATCTGCTGTAAACAGGGGCTGGAAAGCATCCTCATCCAAATTGTGTGTGTGTGTGTGTGTGTGTGTGTGTGTGTGTGTGTGTGTGTGTTCGCAGAGGGGGTTCATGTGTGTGTTGTTCATTGTACACGTACATATGTTTGACCCAGGAGCATGCTGTATGTGGTATGTTATGCGTGGGGTCTGTGCTCTGTCTGTATAATATGTGGTGCACGGCTATACATGCTGTGGATGTGTGCAATGTGTATGTGTTGTGTATGTGTGTGGTATGCGGGATGTGCAGAGTATTTATGATGTTTATTGCATAAAAGCATAATACAAGAGTGAGAGTGTGATTTGTGTGTGGTTTTTTTATGCAGTTTGTAATTGTTTTAAGAGCTGTGTATAGGAGAATGTTTTGTATATGAGTGTGTTGGATATACAGAGTACGTATGTGTTTTCTATGTGATGAGCATCATATTAACATGTTGGGTGTTTCTAGGTGTGATGTGTATTCTATGGTTTGTACACACATGCAGTAGGCCTAGATTGCAGAACATATGTGTTCATGCTCTGGGTCATTCTGCTAGCAGAGAACCCCTAGAGACCAGACCTTGGTGCAAGGCAGCTGGTTTGTTTTTCGTTGCTGGCCTTGTTTCTTCCTGTTTATCTCCTGGGGGGGAGGGGGCAATCTCCTCCATTCACATCAGCAAAGCCTCCAGGGCCCCAGGCCCTCAAGTCTTCACTGTCTTTCTGTGCTTGCCGTCATCGGGGCCTGTCCATCGACACTGGTGAACCCATGATTCATCATGGAGGGTCTAGGAAGGACAGGCCACTTGTAGCCGGAGGACTCAGGCCTGATGTAAACTCGATCCCTCCAAAAGTCTTAATTAAGTGGCTGCCGTAGGCCCAGGATGGAGCTGGGCTTTCTGTGTGCTGAGCACTAAGGCCAGTTAGGAAACAAGCATTTATTTAGGGTCTTTGATGTGCTAGGCGCTATGCTGAGCGCTGGAGAATTAAAGAAAGGTGAAACCATTCTGTGCCCTGAAGAAGCTGACATTCTAATAACGACGTACATGCCATATATGTGTTTGTGTGTGTATGTATAAGGTATATGTATATGTGTACGTGCATACACACATCCATAGAGAGAGGCATGTACAGCACCTGCAGCATACATGTTATACATGTACGTGTAAATATACATGTGTGTATGCCCACACACATACACATGTGTGCGCGCTCGAACACGGCAAATGAAAGGTTATCTCAGGGTGGGTGGGGAATTCCTGGCTCCTCCTCCTCCTCTTTTTCTTCCTCTTCCTCTTTTTCCTCTTCCTCTTCTTTCACTTCCTTCTCTTTCTCCTCCTCTTCCTTCCTTTTCTGCCTTATCAGCAGCAACGCACATTTTGTGCTATCCTACTGTGGGAAAGTCACTTAACTTTTGTAGGCCTCAATTTCCCCTTTTGTGAATTCAGGGGTTTGAACTCGATGACTAAGGATGCTTCTGACTCTTACTATGTCACTCTAGGACACTGTGCTCAGTCTTCTACCTGCCCCCTATGAGGCCTCATTATGTGCCCAGTACTGAGATAGAGTTTCCTCCTCCTCTTCCATAAGCATTGATTACCCACCTGCCATGTATGAGATTACTATTGTCCCTATTCATTTACTGAGACTTACTATGTGCCCAGTCATGAGCTGGGGTCTACTATCATATTTTGAGCACATGTTAGAGGTTGTTATGTCCTCTATCTCTGCTAGAGTCACAGGTGGAACACTGTGCTAGGAGCTATTGGAGACAGAAAAACAGGAACTCCTATTCATGTGTCCCATTCCTCACAATGATCCTGTGAAGAGGGTGGTATACGTAATTTTATAACCATTTTTCATATGAGGAAAATGAAAATCAGGGAATGTAAATGACTAGTTTAGTTCACTGCAATGTAGCGTGGATCATGGTACAATATATATGTTTGATTTCTTCATCTAGATGTCTTTGAGAGGCAGAAAGAGTCCTACATTTGTTGTCCAAAGACCTGGGTTCAAATCTTGTCTGCTGCTTACGAGTCTATGACTTTGGTTGAATTATTTTCCCTCTATTGGCCTCGTTGGCTATCCTCATGTATAAAATGAGTTTGGCCTAGACCAGTGCAAATAGAAGTGGAGCTACTAACCTATACATAAGGATCTCTGTGGGTCACATATTGACTTAGAAAACCACATATTAACTATCTATCTTCTATTGTGGGCAGCTAGGTGACTCAGTGGATAGACTGCCAGGCTTGGTGTCAGGAGAAACCTGAATTCAAATCTGCCCTCAGACACTTATTAGCTGTGTGACTCTGGGCAAGTCACCTAACCCTGTTTGCCTCAGTTTCCTCATCTGTAAAATGAGCTGGAGAAGGAAATGGCAAACTGCTCCAGTATCTCTGTCAAGAAAGCTTCCAAATAGGGTTACAAAGAGTCGAACATGACTGAAAAATGACTAAACAATTAAATACAAGATAGTTTGGGAAGTATTAGCAATTGAAGGGATCAGTTAAAGCTTCCAGGAGGTGGTGCTTGAGTTGCATCTTGAAGAAAGAGAAAGATTCTAGGAGGCCCAGCATATAGGAACATCTATTAAAAAGGTTGGGAGATGGGAGATGAAGTTTGGGGTGTGAGGAACAGAGATAAGGCCATTTTGGCTGGCTCCCAGAGTAATGTACATCAAGGCTGGGAAGATAGGTTGGGGCCAGACTGTGTAAGGCTTTAACAGCTAAAGAGAGTTTGTATTTTATCCCAGAGGTGATGAACAGTCACTCAAGTTAACGAGTAAGGTAATGACTTGTACTTGGCAGCTATGTGAAAGATGGTCTGGAATGGGAAAAGACTTGTGGAAGGGAGGCCAGTTGGGAGGCCATTTCAGTATGGCAGGCAATGGGTGATGAGGGCTTGAGTGAAAATGGTGACTGTGTGCTTAGAGAGCTGGAGTGACACGTGACAAATATTGTGGAAGTAGAATAGCAAGTTTTGGCTGCTGATTGGCTCTTGGGGTGACAGAGTGAGGAGATGATAATAATAGAGAGATCATGAAAGTGGGAAAGTGGGATAAAGACATTGCCTTTGACAGCAACAGAGAAACTTAGAAAGGAGTAGATTTTGGGAGGAAATAATATATATCACAATATAACAAAATATATAATATAAATAATACATATGTAACTATATAACAATATAACAATATAACAATAATGACTTCAGCAACTGATAGTTATATCATTTTAAAGATTTCCTAAAAGGACTTTTCATTATCTACTCCTTCTGCCTGTTCAGGTTATCTAATGTATTGAATCTTGTCTTCTTAATTAATCTGTAAGCTCTTTGAGGCTATATCATATACATTTTTGTATCTCCTGCAGAACCCAGGGCAGTTCTGGCCATGTACTGGGTTCTCAATAAAGACCAGTTAGATTGAAAGTACCTTGAGAATTGTAAAGTGCTATGCACTTGGGGACCATCTTGGCACGTTGCCAGTTCCTTTTTGGTCTAACACTGTTGTGGCTACCCTGAGGTCCCATGCTAAGACATTCCACTTATGACTGGATACAAATGGCGATTTTCACCATCAAGAGCTATGTGAGCTGAGAGTTGAGTTACAGGGAGAAAAAACCTATGACATTTGGCAGGATCTCCTTTTATTGAAGAACAAACATTTTGGAAAATTAAATGTAGATGGTAGGTTCCTAGCATGTTAAGGAAACGTCAATCTATCTGGCATTGGTTTGACCATTAGGAATTTATATCGAGGCTCTGATGTACCTCAATGTTATCCAACAAAAGCATCAATGGGAAATAAATCTTTTATACCCATTTGTCTCTGTAATGGTGCCTGTGTCATGAAACGAAACTTCAGTAGCCAGGCTTGGCTCGAGGCAAATCTATGGAACTGGTGGGGTTCTTGACCATGCTCCCCTTCCCAGTGGTCTGATTCCTACGTGGGGAGCCTTCCTCCAACTTTACTCCCATTTGGAATATGTGGCGGCTTCATGTTGTTTCCTCCATGTCTTGGCTTCCAGGTTTGCTCTTGTCTCTTGAGGTAGTGCTACTCATGCTACCCACAACACCTGTCTCACAGAATTGTGAGGAAAGTACCTTGCAAACTCTAAAACACAGAGATGCATGTGAACTGTTATGATGATACCTTTACTAATATCCCCTGAGGCTTCACTGGTTCTCAAAGACAATACCAGAGTAACACAAATTTCAGCAGGGCCTACCAAGCTAGACTGGTTTGGCCTAGGGATAGATTGTATTTCTATTGTCCAGTCTAGGACCAGCCTAGCAATATTCAAAGAGGTTCATTACCAGGTTGGTCATTGGGCATGAAAAGTATTGTGGGATTTAATGCCTTATCACATATTGAGTCAACAACATGATATGGAACTGAAAAACAAGAAAGTCAAATTGATTCTATTCTGTAATTGATTTCATTTTGTATCACCACCATTTTGTGTAACTACCTAAGTCACATTTCATTTCTCCCTGAACTAAGTTTAGAAATTCAGTTTTCTTGCTAATCACTGTTCTATTCTTATGTCAAGAAAATCTGTGATCCTTGAAGGATGCAGGTGGATGCCAGGGAGTCTGGTCTGTTATCTGCAACACTGACTGTCCTTCAGGAACGTCTGGTCTGTTATCACTGTGACGCTAACTAGCCACAGAAGTGGACACCACCAGTGACCTTTCCATGGAGACAAGATGGAAGGAGGGGTTGTCGCTAACCCTGAATTCCAAATTTTCAGTCAATCATATTATCCCCCACATCTATCATGCTTCTGACTTTGTAATCAAACATATCGTTTTCTCCATCTATGCAACAGGCTTGATAAAGGAGACGTTTTCTTACAATTGGTGATATCCAAAAGTGGAGAGTACTGCCTTAGGAAGCAGCAGGTCCACTCTGCCCCTCACTCCCTTCAACTCATGGCTTCCCTCATTAGAATATAAGCTCCTTGAGGTCAAGGACATTCCAATGTTGAAATCTAGGGATTCTGTGATGGATTTTCTTGTTGTTCACAGCAGATCTAGCAGACCCTCTTCTAATAGATGGGTCTGATCTGTTTGTCAGTGGATATCCTGATGAAATCATGGATCCTTTAAGGATTGAACCTGGGGTAAGTAACAGTACTGTGTGAGGAATCTGTTTCATGTTTGCTCAACTCTTTAATTGGTGAAATCTATCATTAAGCATATATTGGTACTTGCTGTGTGCCCAGCCCTGTGCTAAGGACTATAATAATAATAACAAAAACTAGAATTTATATAGCATTTTAAGGCTTGTAAAACTTTACATGTGTAATGTCTTTAGATCCTCACAACTACCCATTTTACAGATGAGGAAACTGAGACAGAGAGGCTAAATAACTTGCCTGGGATCACACAGGTAATAAATGTCTAAGGCAGGATTCAAACTCAGGGCTTCCTGACTCTAAGTCTAATACCCTATTCACTATACCATCTGACTATTCGGGGATTACAGAAAAAGGAGGGGAGCCTGAGAAAGGGAACTAGATAGTTGGAGAAAAAACTAGTATCAATGAAACAGAAGGAGATGAGGTAATTAGCAGTCATCTTCCTTGTCTCAAGACCTCCTGGAACCCTAGTTATCATTCAAGGATCAGTTCAAATGCTACCCTCCTCCAGATTTTCCCCTCTACAAACCCTCTATGAATTGACTTCAGGGAAGCTAGGCAGTACAGTGGATAGGTCTCTGGGTCTAGAGTCAGGAAGACTTGTGTTCAAATCCAGCCTCAGACACATCCTAACTGTGTGACCTTGGGCAAGTCGCTTAACCTCAGTCTGACTGTTTTCTCATCTGTAAAATGGAGATAATAATAGCACTTACGTCCAAGGGTTGCTGTGATATTCGGATGAGATAATAAAAGTAAAGCTCTTATTATAGTGCCTGGCACATAGTAGGTGATGTGTAAATGTTAGTTATTATCATATTTTGCATTTTAGAGGCATCATGGTATGGTGCATAGAGGGCTAGTTTTGGAGTCAGGAAGACCAGGGTTAAATTTCCGTTTCTGACACTTATTGGTACTGTGACTTTAGGAAAACTACCTAACATCTCAGTGCCCAAAGCAGCTCTCTATGATTGTAAATTGTAGAGCCCATTGAGAATTCCCTACTCTGTCCTGGTGAAATCATAGATCCTTTACATCTGTCTGTCTGTCTGTCTCTTCACACATATATTTATATAATGTGTGTTTTTCCATACATGTATGTATAAATTTATGTAAACATACATGCATATGTTATCATGTTTTCCCCATATATGTTTTTTTTCCCCAATAGAACTTAAAGCTCCTTAAAGACAGGAATTATTTTCCTTTTGCCTCTGTTATCTTCAGTGCCTAGCACAGTGTGTAGCCCATAGGAAGAGAGAGTGGGCCTGGACCTAAGATTTCAGTGTTATGGGAGAGAAAACTCCTTCTGCCAAGGCAAGCTAGTACTTTGCACTTTGTATTTTATAATCTTAGAGAGTTACTTAGAATTGACTATGACCTGGAGCACGGTAGGCATTTAAAAATGCTTGGTGAATTGAATTGAAATTAATGGGTTCACAAGTTAAGGGGTCAAAGATCCCTGTATTGGGAATTCAGAGAACTAGGTTCAAATCCTTCTTTTGCCATTATCTAGCTATGTGGCTGGGCAAGTTACATGCCATCTTGGGCCTCAGTCTCTTTGTCTATTAAATGAGGTGAGATTGAACTGGATGACCATGAGGTTTCCCACACTTTGATTCGTAAGATTTAAAGATGGGCCTGAGAGGCTATCCATCTAGTCTGACTTGTTTTTCTTTCCTTTTCAATTGGTGAGAAAACTGGAAGTTCAGAGAGGGAAGTGACCACTTTTTCCACTTTATCATGGAATTGTTAGGGTGGAATGGGGGTAGTCTCGGGGAAAAGCTCCCAAGACTAACTCACATGCTTCCTGGGCAAGACATTTTCTTTTTTGCTTAGGTGTTGCTTTGTGCAGCAGGCTATTTGCTGCTCTCCAAGATGCTAATTTGGACTAATTTAATTAACAACTAGTGTGGTCTTGAATGCCATTTGATACTTGGAACTGCAGCCATAACATCGTGGAGGATGACCTGGCCTGCCCCCTCATAACACCTGGCTTGATTGGCACATGTGTGTATATGTATTTATGTGTGCACATGCGCATGTGTATGCATGCACACACCGCACACACCACACACACATGTACACGACGAGCAGAGCCAAAAATCTCGGGAGCAACCAAAATTCCTTTTTTTTCCTGGGGGCGTGGTAGTGAAGGTTTTTGCTCTAGCTTATAGAATCAGTGCTGAACCCTGAACTTGAGCCCTGAATCTTCATTTATTTTGGAGAGACAAGGGGAGGAGGAAGTGGTGAGCCTTTGCCCCAGCTGGGCCTAGGCCAGTGACTCAGGCAACACCAGCATTAGCAGCAGGGACTTGTTCCTGTCTGTGTGCCCTTCCCAGTCAAGCTAAGACAAGATTTTCTCCCTGTTCCTCCTCCCCCACCAACCCCCAAACTCCCTCCTCACCACACCCGATGACAGACAGACAGAAGCAACAAAATGTTCTTTGTAAGTGCAAGAGGGTGCCTACCTGATGGCCTTCTGATCACTGCTTGCTGCTCCCAGGTAGTGGTTTTGTCCTGCTTAGTCATTTCATGTTTCCCCATCAGAACAGGCTGGCCCTGATTCTGGAGAGAGGAGAGCCAACACTGATCACTGGGACTTTACATTCTGTGTCCTAGCTGTCCTGTCATTCTAAAAATGCTTAAGTGCCGGGGAGAGAGGGAGGTGGAAATAGTGAGTTTATGCATTATCGCCAAGAAAATGAGGATCTCATGGAGAGTACTAGATGGGAAATCAGGAGACCTCTGTCCTAGACCTGGTTCTTTCACTAAGGTTCTTACCAGTTCTTATGTTATCTGGAACTCCAGGCCTCCGGGGATCATAGGCTGTCTAAGATGCCTCTACGTGTCTGAACACCTGCCACAGGAGCTCCCCCACAGGGCTTTGACTGAGAAGGTTGAGGCAGGGAGGACAGGAAAGGCTAAATATCTTCCTTTCTTCTGGCTTTGCCTCTTTGGTTGTCCGTGTTTCTATCTACTCTGGGCCCAGAATCTGATGAAAAGAAAACTCTGTGGCTGCCCCAGAAGCTGTGTCTTCTTTCTTCTGTCCCCCCACCCCCACCCCATTCTCAGATCCTGAAACTGGGGCTCAACCCACTGGCTGACTCTTGAATAACACAAATTGTCCCAATACCTAGAATTAAAACTCATTTTTCCTTAGGCCTTTTCCCAACCCCCATTGAGGCCACCCTTTCAATTTCTTACACCTAGCAAAGCTCAGAATTGAGCAGTATCCCTAGGAAGGCCAGACATTTCTTGCTACACAGTTCATTTGAGATGGATTCTAGAGGCAGCTATACCTTGTGCCAGAAACTGAGGGTGCACTTAATTAGGGGTGGCTGTTTCTCTTTTTCTCTCTAGAGATGTTGTGGAAGGAGCAGTGGATTGCAGTACAGCACACTGGGGTTCTAAACCTGATGGTACTACTTCCTAGCAGTTTAATGCTGGGTAAATCACATCCTCTTGGGGCCTCAGTTCCTTCATCTGTAAAATGGGTATAGTAATAACTGTATTGCCTACTACACAGGTTTTGTGAGGATCAGATCAGTACTACATACCAATAATTTTGTCATTTACAATGCCATCTAAAAGTAGAAGAGTCACTTGGAAACACTATCTTTACTCTCCCCCTGGAATTCTGTCCTTTCTGCTGGATCAAATCACAAGGAGGCTAAGAAAATGAATGAGAGAGAGGTGGGGGTGGGGAGAGGGAGAGAGACAGAAAAAGAGACAGACAGAGACAGAGACAGAGACAGAGAGAGGGAGACAGAGACAGAGACAGGGACAGACAGAAAGGCAGAGACAGAGACAGAGAGAGAAACACACACACACACACACATACACACACACACAGACAGAAAACTGGTGGACTGGTTGGCTTCCATTGTTTCATCTAATTCCCAAATTCAGCTCAGAAAAACAAAACTTAATAGTAAGAATAACGACAGTAACAGAAAACAAGCCAAGAAGAATTTCTTTCTTTCTTCCCTCTCTCTATAAGGGAGGAAATCAGAATTCTTCCAGGTTAGTTTGTTGGTCATTTTCAGTTTTGTTTCTTTATGTTTATGGGCCACACATACTTTTGCAAGAGAAAGAAGGTACATTTTCATGCAGTAATAATATACCTTTGTAGAGCACTTTACGGTTATCAAGCGCTTTTATGTACATGATCTCATTTGGCCAAATGAGATCATTTGTGCAAAAGCTTTTTGCAAACTTCAAAATATTAATGTCTTCTACTTCTTCTTCTTCTCCTTCTCCTTCTCCTTCTCCTTCTCCTTCTCCTTCTCCTTCTCCTTC